AGTACACTACATCTGTACCACATTTAATTCTTTTAAAGAACAAGGGCCTTACATAAAAAAATGAAGATATATTTTCAAATTTGTAAGAAATAGCATTCTCTGCTGCAGTTACAACAGCTGCTCACAAATGTGAAAATAATTAGTTAATTGACTGCCTAGGTCCATGGTGTATTCATACACAAAGGTGGGTGAGAAAGCAATTGCCTTCCACTGCACTTGGAAGGGATCTCAATTAATACAGAGACGTTCTGGGGAGTTGTATCTGTTGCATCAGAAAGCCATTTTTAAATTATACAAGACATGGAATAAGCATATAGGTTTCAGTTCATGCTCTCCTGGCTGTTCAGGGAGGAAACAGACAAACAGCAACTCATCTCCCATGTCCTAAAGCAAAGAAGCCAAGAACCCTCATTCAGAGCTAACCCAACCCAACCCAACTCAATTAAACTCCAACTTTTCTTCATTAGGAAGATCAAATTTCATTGCAATACATACTATTTCTATAAAGCTGGACAAGAAATAAATCATTGTAGATGATGTGGACAGAAATTCTGTCTTTTTCTAGAGGTAATCGGGAGAAAAGGATCTATTATTATTACATTATGTATAGGAAAACATAGGATAAGAAAACTTTTTTCCTGCAGCAGATTTGTAGCAGGTACTAGAAAAGAACTAAGGTAACCTGAACCTTAATGATTTATCTATGACTGATAAATTTAATAATATCTTTAATGATACTTCTAATAATACATATTTGTATATATTATAAAAATATATAAATATACATTACACATATATCAACTGCAAAGGTAATACTAAAAAACTAGGAAATGCTAAGATCGCTGTTTTAATTCAAACCTCATGTGCACTGTATTATAAGATAGCGCATATAAGATAGTGATTTCTGGGATCACACTCTAATTTTGTTTCTGTAAGAATGCTGTCTCAATCAGTGCATAACTCCATACACTCAAATAATCAGCAGTATTGAATCAATTACTTTCCCTTTGTTGACAAATCCATGTTAGATATCTCAGAGCATATTGTGCTAATCTTTCTCTGAAAACTAAATGAATATAGTTCTTGTAGGTTATTTTATGGAATTTACTGTGGTAGTGTTTGACTGCTCCAATAAAATGATTTTTCACATTCAAATGTCCCAGTTCAGTGACAGCCTGGAATAATTTTTATTTTCCAGATTGGAGTGACAGAGATTAATCACAAGCTATCACTCATCTAGGAGAGGGTAGGATCAATTTCAGAAATATTGTACCTGATTATTCAGAATAATTACCATAGTAAAATACCTTTGCCAACTAGGAAGCTAGAAGCCATCCTACAAGAAATCATGAGTTTGGGGATTATTTCTTCCAAAACGGAACATAACCTTGCTTCTTTTAAAAGTCACTACTAAGATTCAGGACATTGTTGATGCTACTACGTACATGATATCAGTGCTGATTCCAGAGAAAAGACAAAATAGTCATGCTAGGCTGGGAATGAAGAGAATATCTCCCTAGTTAAATGACTGATAGAGAAGAGTCTAAAATAAGACGACTTCTGGGGAACGAAGAGCCATAAGAATGGTATTTTGCAAGGTCCCCAGCAGTAGCTCCAGCTCCATAAAATACTGCCTGGTTTCCATCTGCATTTTGAAAATCAGTGTGTTACCATGGAACATGCTAATTTTGATGTTATGTGTTATTTTTTGACAAGTTCAAGGCTCAAATTTCAGTTACAGCCCCAATACTTAATAGCTCTACAAATTATGCCTGAAGTGTACAGAAAACACAGTGGGAACAAAACCTGCCATCTATAAGAATTTTGGGAGAGGTGTGTTGGATGCTGAGATTCAAAATAGGAGATTATGGCATATCATTCTTCAGCTTAAAGACTATCAGGTTGTAGGCAGCAGACCTTCCTCTCCCCCTGGGGCTATTCCATTTTTGAATAGAGAAATAATATCTGCTGAACCAAAAAAGAGCGTTCAGCACTCATTATTCTTCAGGCTGAAACACAGATCCCTCTTCCATACCAATTGCAGCAGAAGCTTGACCCTGGGTATCATACATCCCAAATGTGTTTTAATTACTGGTATGTTAAGTGCTTTGAGGGTAGAAGATGAGCGATGACCTTTTTGATCAAAATTTTATGTTGTTTCATACAAACCTTCTCTGTTAAAATTGATAGATTTACTTGCCACAAAAATTTTTAGTCAAATCAATATTTTCTGCCTTGTTCCAGATTTAAATTGAAAATGCATTTTACATTTACAGTATTTCCTTTGCCTTCCTCAAGATTCTTGCTTCATACATTATACAAGAAGGTGAAACAGTGGCTGACCTCTGTCACTAAGCAATTCCATTTTTCCATTAGTAATTTGTGCATTTAAAAAAAAACAACAACAATAAGCTAAGGCAGAAGACTGGTGTAAAAGCAGTCTGCAAACATGTGACCAAAGACCAAACTGCAGCCTACATAAACTACAGTACAAACATGTTGAACAATAAACCCTTACACTAATACTTCCTAATCTTTATTTTGCATAACTCTCATTTGTAAACCTAATAATATTCTCATAATGGAACATTTGGTAACTTACACATACAGCAAATTCATCATACAAACTGAGAATAAAAATTCCGCAGTAGGGTATGAGGTTGCCACCCATGTCTGCAACTTGAGCCAACTAAGTACTCATAGCAGTGGTATGCTGTCATCTTCTTTGTGAACCGCTGGTAGAGGAGGACACCTACAAAGCTGTTTTCTTACTGACTCTATTTCTGTTTTGAGTTACGTTAAAGCAAGCTACGGAACAGGCTGTAATACTCCTTGTACTTTCTTTTCTTTGCCCTTGCACAATGGCTTTCCAACTGACTTAATAAATCAGGTCTATTTTCTGACTGCAGTTGTTTTATCTTATCTCAGTTTTCCTTCCAGCCCACTGCCACCACATCATTTTTCCTCCTGACTTCCTTTCTGACCAGTTTTCTTCATCCTAAGTTTTTGCCCAAGCCTGGACCAAATCCCCTTCACCAATAGCTTCAACTTTTCCTGCTCCTGTTCCATAAATCCAGCAATTTCCGTGCTGGAGTCTCACACCTCTTGCCTTTCTCCCTTCTTCTTAACAGTGCTTTGTTGAGCAGAGTTAAATTCACATCTTTTTACTCAATTCTCCCAACAAAGTAGAAAATAAAAACAAACATAAATACTTTCCTGTTTTATTTGAGTTTCACTGTCCTGATCCAATCTGCAGGGGACTCAGTATCAGCACTGGACCTTGACCAGTCATGTCTAGACTGTAAGTGATCTAGATGCAAAGCCTGGCTTGCGCTATCTGCTGTTTCTACTGAAGCTTATAGTAATTTGATCATGTTTTCTCACAATTTTCATAAAAATGTTCAGAAGCATATAATTGAAATACACTTTAGCTCACTTCTAAATTTCAAAACCCTGCTAGATAATAAGGCATATAGAGTATTGGAGTAAAGGTTTTGAGAATAATTCAACAGAGATAAAATCATTTTTTGCCCGAACTTCATTGTTAAGAGAGACCTAGTTGCTCTAACTAACATTTCCCAAGGTAAATCAAAATCGTTTTATAAATCAGATACATTTTAGGAGTTGTAATCAACCGAAAACCAGATCTATAACATGAAATCTTAGGAAATCTTAGGTAATAATAGGTCTTAGTTACAAAAAATACAGACATTTCTATATATACAAATATACATTGTGGATGTTTCCAACTGAGATTCTGTCAGTACTTCCATTTTAAATTTATCTAAAATGTTGATAGTCTTAAGGGTAAGGTTTTCCAGGACATAATAGTAAACAATTCAGAGCAAACATTCACTTTTTTGTTCTTTTTTAACAAGACTGAGCTGCATTTATTTTATAGATTCTTTTCCTTTACGTATTTTTCTGATAGCTGTTAAACAAGTATGAGCATATTTTAGTACAGGGAGTAGATGATATGCTTACTACTGCTGCATGTATTTGTACAATAGAGTAAACCCATGCGTTGATGTTCAGGCTGGGAAACCAATCATAGCAGTTCTGTTTACGCTCCATGACTAGGTGACATCCATTCTTACTACAGATTTTCAATTCAATTTATAAATATTGCTATCTTTTCACTACATTGTCAAACAGATTTTGGCCACAAAACTGAAATTAACATGGAAGAAAATTCTTGTGTATGAAGATTTCATTACATACTATATTACATATTTATTTGAAAGCACTCAAAATGAGACAAACTTGGAAGCCATCAGACTGTGTGAAGATTTACATTATCCACATACCTGAAAACAAAAGTTTTCAGAAATAAATCTTCAAGAAAGAGAAGTCAAACTTTGTGTGGAAGAATAAGATTCTACAAAAGACAGCTATTTTATGCAAATATTAAATACACACTTAATGCTCAGAAATTCTGCTATAAAGCTAGGGATAAGGAACTCTGTTTTCTGTCCCACAGATTTGTAATATTTCAAAATATGTGTCCAGAAGAAATCAAACTCTCTGCACGCTTCAAAGAAATACAAGCTTGTAAAAGAACAGCCCAAGCTATATCAGTTTTAAATTCTTGAAACATGTACTTCAATACCTTTTTTTCATGTGGAAGATATCAGTAGATACCACTGCTCAGAATCCTATCAAAAATATTGATATCCATAACATCAACATTGCGTATTCTGATAATGTTACCTCTGTTTAACCAGAGGAACATCTACTTAGATTTTATTTACCTTATGGCAGCTACTTCCCACTGAAGCTAACAGCAAACACGAGAAGTGTACATAAGCAGGATAAAACCATACCAGCACTACATGATGTTTAAGTGGTAATGACTTAAAAATGACTTCCAGAGACAGGATTTCTGAACTACAGGAATCGTGATTTTCTCACAGCAGAGAGAAGGCTATTTTTAACTTACAAGAATTGTGAGTAGTGAACACTACAGCCAGTTTGAAAGTAGCATCATTCTAGGTACTTACCTAAGCTTGATCTTGTGTTGGATCGCTCTATTATCGCATGCTTACTGGGGTTGTTTAATACTGAGCGTTTGGCAAGCGAGATGTCTGCTGTGACTCGTGTAATTGATATACTGCAAAAGTAAAATAATATAGAAGGGAATGCTATTTATTTTGAGGAGAAAAGAAATTCACTTAAAATAAAAAGTTGGCTAAGAACACAGAAAAAGAGTTTTTCCTTGGTGCCTCAGTATACTTTGCACAAAGTGAACAGAAGAGATGTAATTATGTTACAAGAACTATTGAGAAGACAGCCCTCTTTCTGCATACTACCAAACTGTAGCATGATCATGATCTGCAAAATTACTCCAGTCTGGGGACAGAGAGGTAGGGAAATGATAGAGTTGTGAGGAAGATGTACTCCCTAGTGGCTCCAAGCCTGCTGTGGTTAGACTATTTTGATTGTTTTTGTTTTTATTTTTCCAAAGGTACTGAATGACATTCTGGCTTATTATATACAAAAATGTAGTGATAACAGGTGAAGGTAAAACTTAACAGGCAAATCACACGATACTTACATTTATTCTTCAGTTAACTACTTGGTTTTTTGTTGTTGTTGTTGGTTTTTTTTTGTTTTGTTTTGTTTTTTTTAAACAGTGTGCAAGAGCTACCTATATTTTTCCAGAAAGTTCAAGCAATATGTTGGCTATCATCTGAAAATGAGGACTGAAATATAAAGAAACAAACACTGGAATGAAAAAGCAAATGAGAACTCCGGGCTGAGTTTCTGGTAGGCTCAGTTCTGTGTTTAGAAGAAAAGATGAGCCAAGAAATAAGTGATTACTTCCAGTTTGCACTGACCTTCTACATAACCTTCTGCATATTCTTCTTCCTAGGAAAACAGTTAACTCAGTTTGTTTTGCTTTCCAGGGTCAAAAAGCACCCTTTAGCTAAATTCCCCTTCCAGCTCTGTTCTAACAAAGTTTTAGAGGTCACATTTTTCCAGTGCTGAGAGTTAAAAAAGGCTTATGTTGCTCTCTTGTTCTTCCTTGTATGATTTTACTTGCAATTTAAAAGAAGAAAATGGGTTTGGAGAGGGGGAGCTACTCTCTAAGAAACATACTTAGATGCTGTTCATCTGAAATGTAATCAAAAAAGTCATTTTCCAGTGAGTTCAATGCGTGTATAAACTTTCTATAACCAGACAAAATTTAATAGAGACAGAAATCAATACAGAAAAACAGGAGTTATTTCCACAATACTGATTAGTGACACCATTTTGAAAATTCAGGCTTCATATAACTAAAGCTAAAAAAATAACCAAGTACTATGATTTTTGGCCATTAGCCTTAGAATGAAATCCAACATGTAAATTAGGATACCGATTAGATATTTTTATTTACTAATTGACAATTTTTCTCCTGCCAATTTCCTTCCAAGGTTGTATAGGAAAGAATTTTCCCGTTTTTCAAATGCAATTATGCAACATTGAAGGAAACAATTTTTCATTTTAAGATTTCAACAAATTTTTAAGATCATTTAAATGTCTTTCCTGATGGAAGAACAAGCCAGCTCTCAAAATAAAGGGTATGTATGTCATTGTTCCTTAAAAAATTAATTAGTACCCAACAGGATCAGAACTCAAGCAAGTTTATAATGCAAAGTACTTACCGCCCTTCAAATCTATGTTTTAAAAAATCAAATAATGCTTTTTGCATCATATCTGTTACCTAAAAGCAAAGAAACAAGAAATTAATAATTAGATAGGAGAAACTGATGATAGCTGATGCTAACAATTTAGAAAAAGATATTGAAGTTGACAGTAAAACTTTTATCTGAACAATATGACAACAATGTAAATAATTTTGTCCTAATCTGAATTTGGATATGAAATAAAATGAATGTAACCACACATCTCATTGAAGTATAAACTGTCTATATTTTTGTCTATGATACAAATCATATTTTTCAGCTTAATTACCTCCAAACATTCAAATCAACATGATGCAAAATATTTTTGGCAAAATAAAATGATTTGCAACAATCTCTTACCTCATATCCCTTCAAAGAAGGTCCCACTAAAACTACAGGTCGCATAGAAGGCACTACATCATAGGGAGGGATGTGCTCTGTCTGTAAAACAGAAAAAGATTTCAGCATTGCAGCACTTAGAGTGTAAAATATTAGTTACAATATTAGCAACTCTGAATTTCCAGTGATGTCACCAATGGAAGAATTGTGGATTGATTAACTTTTCCTGAAAATTGGAACCCAAGGACTTCACAGGTTCACAGATTTCTTTCTGAAGAAGCTTTTCTTTGACTTACTATTTACTTTCATGTTTGCGCTGAGCAGTTCTAAAATGTTTCTCTGGAGACATTCACATGTGCCACTGCATAATTCACGACTGGTTGACTGAAAAGGCTAATTCCAATAGTTAAGGATTTGACACAATTGTCTCTGGAGATGTGACACCTTTATTCCTACTAAGTTTTTCTTTGTCAAATTACAAAGGAGAAAAGTAAAACAAGAAGGAAGAGGAGAAGATTAGAACATCTCTTTTTATGCTCAGATCTGCTGACTGATTTGCAAAACTTGACATCACTGGAAATTCTAATGGAAGCGATCATGGTCTGACTTCCATATTTGCATACACAATTCACTTCCAAAAGGAATCAAAACAATCACTGATCAAGTTAGTATTTAAAGAAAATTTTCATAAACAGAGCTTGGGATACCAATACTTTTACTCTGGGAAGTGCCATCACCACCAAAGAGCAGACTGTGTTAGTACAGTATTCACCAAACTACTTACTAACGTATCGTGCATAATTTACAAAAACTACTTTGAAAAAGAAAAATAGTTAAGACTACTTGCTTCCAAAGACTACCACAATTTTTACATTGGTATTGAAATAACATAAAAGCAGATTAATCCATTTTATTTTCTTTAATAAATTGCTAATCAATATATACCTCCAAGAGTAGCATACACTGACTTATCAGGAAGGGCTTTTTGTTTTTAAGAAAGGGTTTAGATTGTTTTTGTCTCAGAGAAAAACATATCTAATCCAAACCCAGGAACTTGTGGGTGATACAGAAAGATGGTATGCCTATTTTTCAGATGCCTATGCAGTAAAAATATATCAGTCAAGACTGCATAGTACAGTCATTGTTCATTATTTCAGTACTCAACATATCCCAAGATGTTTCACAATAAGGTTAAAATAAGAATATACGTTACAAAACAGAAAAACACGGACAAACATTAATACAGTGACAGCACAAAATGCTAAACAAGCAGCAGTCTAAAGCAGTCTAAAACACAGAAAACATTTTCATGAATGTTTTTATATTTTAAATATAATTTATCTTTATTTTTGGTTATCTGTAGCTTCACCAGATAATCAGTAAATATTAATACCAGTGCCCAAGGCACTGTAAGCATATCAGATGAACTCATGTTACACAGGGCAGAATCTACCTCAACACATTTCAAAGCAAAGCTCTGCAATTACGCTGCACCAGTATTAAAATGCAGCCTTCTGCTGTTCTTGCTAATAATCTGCTAAACATCACTAATAACCTGATATTTTTGGAGTCATTTCCTAAGAAAAACCCATTACAAAGTGTTTATAGCAAAAGTGCACTGATACAACAGATCTTTGTTTTAAAGTGTCAACCCAGTTAAAAATATTCATGCTAGAAGTTAACTGGCTATTTGAAAATCAGGGAATGTACAGAAGTTATCTTATTTGATGGAATATGGGGTTAACCGAAAATCTGTTGAAACAGTTTTATTTTTAAAAAAGCTTTCAGCAGGACACTGTCTATCTAATGGAAACATCTATGTTCTTCAATTTAGTACTAAAGAATCTAATGTTGTAATGTCCTGGCACTTAGCTATATGGCTTTCACTTGTAGAGTCAAGTTCAAATAGGAATCTGAAACAAAAACTAGCAAAGTTCAGACCACATGGTTCACATTCAGTGGTTAGACCACACGTGATCAGTTTGGGATGTCCGCCCAGTTTTAACGCAAATGTTATGACAAAAGCTATTGTAATCAGTAAAGACTGATATAGAATAAAAGAGATCGTGCAGAATGGAGAGACATGGAATTAATCACTGTCTGATAGCATGGTGGTTTGTCTGCAAGATGCATCTTCTGAAGAAGCTTATGCATTCAATACATATCAACATGTGTAATTCTTCCTTAGCATTTACACTTGGCTATAAATACGGTTAATGAAGAAATTATTCAGAAGCATGAAAATGCTGCTGATTTCCACAGACCTTACTGCAGAAAATACTGGTGATTAAAAATGAGAAGGATCTGATATTTCTTAAAAGAGTTCAAGAAAGAATAAAATATTTTATTTGCCTAAACATGTCAGCAATCCAAAGAACCAGCAATAGTGTCACTTGGCACTGTTTAGAAGCAGCATATATAGCCTGAAGATGTTGAATAGTTAAAAGCAAATGAAGAACAGCTATGAAGACTTTGAAGATTATTTTTTATTTTTCTAAGTAGAAGCATAGTATTTAGTTTCATAGTTTGGCTGCTACCTAGTGTCTTGATAATGTTTTCTACCAGATATTCTAGAAACATATCTCAGTTTGCTGTAATAGGATGCCAGTGGTATAATTCTGCAGCACTTAGGGTTATCTATGTAGACACGGGCTCTTATGGAAACTAACAGTACCATTTACAATAGCTGAGATACAAAAGCATTTGACTGATGTAAGGCAAGATCATTTGGCTGGTAACTTATTCATGACAATAGGAAAAACTCACACCAGACTGCCAAAACAAGTCTGTACTTTTCCACTGTTGTTTCTCATCTGTAGATTTTGCACCAAGTGAATTAAAAGTTTAAATACCGACTAAATTAAAAATTCACAGATTTTGATTCTTTGTTTCGTAACTACTGCCTGTATATCTGATTAGATTGCAATAATGATTTCAGTGGACTGAGTTACAAAGAAAATAATACCTTGAAAAAGACAGAGATATAAAGAATAGGTATGCACTAAAGAGGTGCATTATATGAATTTGTTAGAAAAAAAATTCCTCAGGCATCTAGAAGGCCTTCTGTATTATTTATTCCATCAAAAAGGATAAATACTGTAGCAGAGTCTCATGGACGCACTGAGCTTAGAACTGTTTGCTTTAGTGTTTTGTATACTTGAATAGTTCAGTTAATGTCTTCTTTAATTCTAGGGTAGCTGCATTGTTAAACTGGGGCAATAATCATAATGATGCCAGCAGCAAGATGAACACAGGTAGTGCCGAAATAAACTTACCGATTTCTGCTTCTGCTTAGCTACAGCAGCATGGAAAAGAAACAAAGAACAACAAAGCATGCATGTTATTGGCTTGTCAAAGGACGCAGACAGTTAACAGGACTAGAAATGTGACGCAGTGCAGGTGAGCAGGTGGACAAATGGGAGCTTGGAAGTCGGTGTTACCTTCTTAAAGAAGGGCATTCTTTTCTCTTTGGAGTGGGGTGATGTTACACTGTTTGCACTGGGTTTGGGGGAGCGATGGTTTGCTGGAATATCATTTTCTTCTGCATCTAAGCCAGTGGCATCTATGTCTATAGCTATATACAGACAAACAATTCAGAATTATCAGATGATAGGGAAAGCAAAAATAAGTTAAAAAAGAAATAAGAAATAAAGAAAAATAAAGCTGTCGAGAGTAAAATAAAGATTAAAATAATAATAAAATAATTTAGTCATGAATACAAAACACAATAAAACAATGGGAAAAATTTAACGGCACAGTAAAGTAGGTTTAGAAAACACAAGGCAATTTTCCTCTGACCCCTTATTACAGAATTAAATCAGACATATACAGAATTAATATTACAAAACAGAGGAAGGGCCAAGATCTATTTTTTGTTAGAGTAGTGTATATCTGAACTAATTCACTGAAATAAATAATACTTGCACCAATAGAACAACAGAATTTTTTGCCAGCAACATCTGAATTATTGCAACGAAAGCTAATTCAAAATTTGTACCATCAATTGAAATTCAAAATGTATTAATGTGTCTTAAGCAAATCAAATAACAACAAAAAAAAAAAAATTGGGGGGACCAAAATCAGCCTAGTTGTGGCACAATAATATCTACATTTATCTTATGACAGACTACAATGGGAATCTAATTATTTTAACAAAAAATGCACAGCAGGCATAAGATATGTTTATTAGAAATAATAAAAGAAGATCTATTGATAGTCAAAACTAAAAAGAATGGGTAGCAGAAGAGAGAAGAGACATAGGTAATCTGAAAGACCTGGTCCTATGTGAAGAGTGAGGATGTAGATAGGCCAAAATGGAAATGAAAACAACAAATCACTGCTGTTCAATCTTCACAAAGGTATAAGCAGCACACAAAGCTTGTACCATACACATCTATCTACCTTTTTTAGTAAGTAACTAGCTACAGTATAAGCAAAAATTGTAATGGAAACAGAAATAAACACATTTTCAAAATACAAGGCCAGGTTATTCTGAGGGAAAGGACCAACAGATACCTGCTAACTACCTCCAAAACAACAACAAAAAAAACAACTGAGAGTTTCAAAAGCTTTCTTTTTACAACATTCAATCCTGCTCTTAGGAGTTGTCTTCAGAAAAAAAAAAAATACATTCAAAATGGATAAACATGCTATACAACATCGCCCATGTGCATAAAGATCTTACCTACCTCTTGACACCCACTGCTAACAGGCTTCTCTTGTCCTGCTACTATGGTGAACTGAATGTATCTCTAAAGAATCTGTGAGCAGCATCATTCATATAGACTTAAACCAAACCTATAATTAATCACTGTAAACTATTGTGAAACCACCTTAGTGACCTGCTTTCAGCTGCTTGATGAGCAAGACATCAATTAATATAGTGGCACCTGCTAATAAATTATACAAAAAAAATGCACAGTTCTGTCAAGCCTGTGTACAGCTACTGATTTAAGAGACATCTGTGACAGCAATTTCTTCAAGTAAAGTATATTTTCCCATTTGAATTATCTACAAATCTAATCCCTTGATCCTTGGCAAGCCTTAAGTTTGCAACTCTCCCTTTGAGTCTGACCTTGACAAGAAAGGCAGTGAGCAGATCTGCAGCCTGCTTCTATACTCCTGCTCCTAAAACCAGGCACAGAAATCACATAACACTGTCTTCTAGCAACAATGTTCCTTCATCCTCTTCATAAATACAAAAAGAACATATTCTTTTCTTGAATGCAGGCCAGCACAGACACTATAAATCACTCATAATCAAGTGTATTAGCACTCCTTAACTTCTATGTCCAACTAAAATCATCTGTAAGGAAAATTATGGTTGTTTAGCTTTTCCTGTAAAAGAGAAATGCAACATTTTATCAGATAGATATTGATACCTATTTCTCATTCTCAATTTTCCCACTGCATAAAAAATGTGTCAGTTTGCCTTTTTTTTTTTTACAGCTAATTATCTTTAATTTGTTGTACCTTTTTTGTTTTTAAACTCATTTTCACCATTATCATCATTCTGTGGGGTGGCCAGTGAAGAATGTATGAGTTGATTACTACAGATTATTTAAGGACTATAGGCCTCTTCTCAATGTTTTTCACTGGTTCTTCACCTTTTTTTTATATGGGAAAAAAATACCAGACTCAAAGTCAAAACATGTAATTAACTTATTCTACTTATCATTTCTTCAATTCATTAAATAATTGCTGGTTTTGCCAGTTATTTTACTCTCACAAAGAGGAGAACTGGTAACAGCAGAAATATATCAGATTAGAATTGAGCTATACTTCAAAAAAATAGGTTCTTCTCTGTAGTGTCAGTTACAAATTATGCTTCTTTCATCCTTCTTGGTATGTATTATCAATAAAACACCGCAAACTCCAAATCTTCAGTGTAACTGAATCAATTAAACACCATTTTTCTTTCTCCAAAAAATCATTTTCCTGAAAACCACCATGTGAAGAAATGACTCAATGGAACGAAAATTACAGCATTACTAGCAATTAGTGCGTTGGCAACATAATTATGCTATCTCTTACCTCTAAATTCTATGAAACATTCAGAAAATTTCCTATGTACTGGTATCTAAGTGTTTGCAGAATATAAAACTATTCTAGCATTTCAGATGTTCTATTTACAAAATTACAACATAGGTCCACAGACACTTTCTACTCAAAAATGCAGCCACTGAAAAATGACAGTTTAAGGCCTTTGTAGAAGAAAAAATTAAAGTGTGTTCTAATGACTTGTGATGGACACATATTATTAAACTAAAATATATATTTTCTTAAAAAACGGTTGACAGGGAACTTAGGTGGCAAACTAACTGTAATAAACTTGATCATTATAAGCAAACTCATGGTTTCATGAGAAAGACAGACACATTTTTCAATTAATTTAACCAAATGAGTCTAGTAGCATAATTTGACTGAACTCCTCTGTTTCCGTCTTAATATCCAGTAAATATTTTAAAAATCCTCATGAACATATGAAGATGCCTGCTCTGTAGATCATGCTCCATATAAAGTGTTTGGAAAATACTCATCTTTACCTCAATAGACAAGATGTTAGCAATACTCGTAGAACTTTTTGATTTCAAGTATTCCAACTCTCCATTTTTTTTCTCAGGAGTAGATAAAATGTTCAACAATAAAGCAGTTGATTTGAATATATATTCGGAAATAATATATTTGGAGCTAATACCTTCATTCTGCTCCAACTCATGAGGAATTTGCTTGAACTTAGCCTAACAAAAGTTAAAATCTGTCTGTTCTAAATTCAGAACAGTATTTGTGGGGAAAAAAATAAAAAAAGAATTCTGTCATAAAAGCAAAAATAACAACCAACCAAACAAACAAAAAAAACCCCTCACCAGTATTCAAGAATTACGTGAAACAGATTATCATTATCAGAACTGCGACAGTGAAAGCTCCTGGTTGTTGATGCTACTGCAAAGAGCTCTTGGGAGTTTTTATTCTTTTTGCTTCTCTTTCTCCCTATTAGAATGTATTTCTTATTCAGCAGGATTGCTTAGAGCCTAAGCCTTTAATTATTCTATCACAAGACAGCCTCACCATTTCATTTGCTCTCTGCTATAAAACTTCATGGCAAAAATAAAGAACGAAGGAATTACGTGGATTGTTAAGAGCCCTATCATTACTTAAACTTGATGGTGGCATTAACTCTTAAACTACCCAAAGCAGCCTTGCAGGGCAATGCAATTGCACAGGAAATAAGAAAAATAGAACTAAATGTAATGTAAGTTTTAACAGACGAGGTGCCTGATTCTGTAAACTGAAGGGCTTTTGACCTACTCACCAGATGATGGAGGCGTCGATTTTCTGGAGCTAGGAACTATGTCACCCAGACTGGATGAAGAGTTTCCTCCTGATTTACTGCAGTAAAGCAACAGAGTAGTTTAAAGTTTTACACCTATTTGAGTATTTATTCTACCTTTTTTATTTTTCTCTAAATTAGCTGCTAGCCCGGAGCAAACAGTATTTCTGACAGTAGCATAAATTATATATCTTACACAAAATCAATGCCCACTTTGAACACTGAGGATGTGCAGACACCAATCATGCTCCGTGCTCTGCCGATTCATTCTGTTGCATATGTCTTTATGGCCTCATGTCCTCATTGTAATCAAGCTGTTCATTACATTAATATAGTTACTAATATTATTGCTTATTATACTATGATTAATTCTCATACCAGAGAGCATACATATTTTCTTTAACAGAATAGTTATTAAGAATGCCCTAGTGAAACTAATAGTGGGCTCATCTAAAACAGTTTCTTTGTTTGTTATTTTGGTACAAACTTACTAAAAATAAGTGCGTCAAAGGAAGTTACAAAGTGTCTAAGACTAAGTCAAGTTCTGCTTTGTGAAAGCCTATTCAAGCTGTGCATATCAAACAATATTTTTGTAAGTTTCAGTTTGAATTGAATCTTTATTTCTATATTATGATCACTGCAGTCAGAAACAATGAATGACTTAATACTTTCTTTAATTTCTGAAATCAACTTTAAAGTTTAGTAAATGTAACTGTGAAAAAAGTAACAAATAATGTAATATTTAGGGGGATTGATTTTTGTGCTTGCACTCAGCAGATGTACTAACTCCTTCACAGGTCACAGACCAATCTAAGTGTCTGCATTCTCTCTGTAACTGCAATGACATTATTAATTGCATAAATAAATATATATTTTTCATTGATTCAACATTCTTTAACTGTCAATCATAAGAATTAAAGAGATGTATAGCATGCACAATCTTAATTTCCAAATTAACTGCTAGAGGCAGCACTATTATTTTAAATTATTTCTTCTTGTTACCTGGAGTAGAATTTCCCTTGCTTTGCCTTCTGTTCATGCTGCAGCCTCATGTTTTCTAGTTTGACTGGGCTTGGTATGAATCCTATTTCACAGCCTTCTTTTACCAACCGTCCTATCCACCAGTCATTGTTAAATTTCTAGACAACGAAAAGAAAAAAAATATCTTGTACTATGAAATTACTATATTTGTGATCACTTTGTTAATATTTTTTGACTTGCAGCTAAGTCATTTTATGTAATTCTTCCCTGCAGTTAATCATTGTACTGTGTTATTATGGCAGTGAACAATAGTGCTAATGTTCAGAAATGCATAAAAATAATTATACCTTGCAAATTATTAAAATGCTACAGTACTTAAGCAGAAACTTTCCCTCTCAAAACATCATGATTCTCCCTGGCTGTTATATCCTCCCATTTCACCTTTTTTCTTTCTGCTTTGCAGCTACCTTGATGCTTCTCCTCACTGGATGACAGAGATTTCTTCTGATCTGCTCTTATTCACTGCAGCAATTTTTAAAGCTCTATAATAATCTTTTTTTTCCCCTTATTCTATTAAACTGAGTTCCCTATTTAGAATAAAAATACCATATCTCAAACTCCCCTGCTTCTCTGAACTCACTAATATCTTATGAAATATGACTACATTCCACTTTCCATATGTGCTCTACCTATAGCTCATGTGATCTGTATGTTAAGCAGAAAGTGATAAATCCACGAGGAATGGACATCTGAACAGTAAGGAAATTTGCCCTTCTAAAACTGAAGTTATGAAAATAGCTATTATAGTACATATTTAATAATTAACAATAATAATTAACAAGTGCATAGTTAGGTGTAAAACATATTAAACGAGTGGGCCCACATGAAATATAAATAATTTTACTAAGTATATGATGTTGGTGGATCAACAATATAAAATCTAGTTAGTACAGAAATGCTGTGATGCCTGAAGAAAATTTTATGATTTTAACAAAAAATAAAGGTTAAAATAAGTACAATTTTAAGGTCATAAAATATAACTGGCAGTATAAGATATTATTCATCCAATGGAATGCTTTAATGAGTAAGGATACAAGTGGAAGCTACATTAGAAGAACAATTTATCAAAGCTGTATTGGTTCAAACATCTTATTAAAATTGTAAACTTTCACTGAAAAATTCTAATTAAAGATAAGCATGAGCATTTCAAATATGTAGGACAAGACATGTAGAGGAAGACCAGCCATTAAATCAAGAAAGGTTGCCGTCAAAAAGATCTGCGCTGTGTTCTACATGAAGTCTGCAAAAGTAGTACCATTTAGTTTGCTAAATGGAAGAGATATATAATTAAAGAAACACCATTAAATTAAAATCTGAATAGACAGTATTATTTTATCCTGTGCAATAGTGCAACAAACCACTGCTCAACAAAATCCATTTTAATGTACTTAGTAGAAATACTTAATCCTTGTGAATTTTTTCTTGCAAAAATAAAAACATGAGGAATTCACTCCTGTAAAATAGCTAAGTGTTTTGTTGGTAAACACAAAGGAGGATAAGGTAGTTTTATGAGAAAATCGTACTGTATGTAGAATCATAGAATCATAGAACTACTTGTGTTGAAGGGACATCAAAGATCATCTAGTTCCAACCCCCTGAATACATAACACTTCTCAATTTTAAAAAGCAATAGTGGAAATCTTGGTAGTGATTAGTGATATGTTCAGCTCTCAAGGTGCTGGCTGAGGTGAAGGGTTCTCTGTAGGGACACCTCTGCTTGAAGAGTCAGGTGAAACATAAAGAGGAATTAAATGCGAAGCAAAATTATGGCCATGCATTTAAGTCCTGAACGATTCAGGGAAGTCTGTGATGCAGCAGAAGGAATCCGTCATCTGTACATGCACTAAGTTTTAATAAACCTAAGTTAATAATAAAAACAAATTTCCCTCGCATAGAATCAGTGCAGTCTTTTTCACCACTGTCCATGCAGATTCTGAATTTAAGTTTCCCTTGCTTGAGCCCTCTCAGCAGTATAAACTGAAGAGCTGAGTGAAGGAGCGGTATGCAGTAGATTACAGAGTCCTGGAGAGAGAGCAGGCCAGAGCCACAGCCACAACAGGAGACAGGCAGGACAGGAAGGATATGGCTCAGGACCTGTCTGAGAACGTTTAGTCTGCCAGCAGCAGCTGCTGCTAGATGTGGCAGCAGCAAGGCCACTGAGATCTCAACCCTTATCTGCATCCCTGCTCCATTCCAGAGCAGGTGGATGGTCAGCTTCACTGAGTGGCTCAGAGAGAAAAACAGTTTTGCAATTAGAGACCTTGTTGTATGACACCTGAGGCTGCATTTTAATCTTGTTTTCATTACTTCCAGCTACATGCATCCACAGACAATATAATACCTCGGCTGAGCTAAGCTTCTTTTCAAGATATTTCTGAAGATTCAGTAAAGTTTGGAAAATTCCTTCTTTCTCATTATTTCCTATGTGTTTTGACACTCAAGGCTAAGTTCGGCTATGATGAAAAAGCATAAATTCCATCAGACAAAAAACTTAACACTGTTTCTAGTCCTTGGAAACAGGGAAAAGACTCAATGTGAAGTCTGAGGTTGCCAGATAATTTGAAATACAAATGGAATAATACAAAATCATTTAATCTAACCAAACTGAGTCATGCTTGTCCAAACTCACTGAAAGATCCTGATAGGTTGTTTTTTTTTCCAAAGACTCTATGCCAACTCATCCCTACTTTTGTCACAAGAGAGAGCAGAGCATTTCTTTTGCAATTTCATCAGGCTTGAATGGCATTTTCTTCACTATATACAAGTTATCCCTTTTTTAATGTGTTTCATGTATATGGAAAATACTGATCACCAGTCATCAAGGCAAATTTATTAAAAGTCTAATTCTTGTGTTTCCTTGCTCTTTGTCCACTTGTATTTCTACTTGTGTATTAGGGAAATCTTGCTTCCTCTGCAAAACACTCCACTAGCAGAAAACATGCATCATCAACTGTAACTGAGGGATTCTTCTGCACATCATTAAAAAGCCAGACAATCTAAAATGGATGAAAGATACATTGCAAAACACAGCATATGATCAGGCGCTCAGAAATCTCATAAAGTCAAGAAACAATTGAGAATAAAGCAGTGGTGTACTCTGACCCTTAAAGAGGTTCTCTGCTTACTACTTCATTTTTGCTTACTTCTTTAACGTGAAGAAAATCTTTAGCTTCAAATGAGATGGCCATGCCTGGGACTGGAACATCATCATCATGAGCTGCACTATAACCAACATTTGTCCGAACTGCAAATGCAACAGGTTTTGTCTGCAAAGAGAAGGTAAAAAGCATGAGGATTACTCTCACAAACACGTGCATTTATACAAATGTACATACAGAGAATGGATTCTGTAAGATGTCTTTTTAAATGATAAAAATGAAAAAGAACTCTTAGCTGTAACACAATTAGCTTGTGTAAAAGACAACCAACTATTACTGATCTAGGCATGCCAGGAAGAAAAGAAGTAGTCATGTGGGCACTGAACTCACTGATATTTTTAAGGAAGATACTTGATAAAAGCTAACACTAATTATTGTTTTTCAATATTCAACAAAACCCCATAGCTTACCTGAATTTACAAATTGCAGACAAACACAGTTGATGCTTTATATGCTATTATTCACTTCAATACAAAAAATGTGGATGTGAGCAAGCATTAAATTGTCAAATCTCCTAAATACTACTTCCCCACTGAAGAACACAGAATAAAACATATCATTCATTGTTATTTAGAATAAATTCTCCATAAAGCATGGCAAACTATCGTTGCAGAACTGCATCTCAGAACAAGAGAAACAATCTTTGCCAAACGATGATAGAGAAGATAACACACCTGCCTGTTCTTTCTCCACAGTTCTCTACCAAATACTAAAAAAAACCCACTCAGCAGGGTATTGTGTCTTACTCCTGATATTATCAGTGGATGAAAGACTTCAGACTGACTAAAGACTATAAAATCTCTGCTGCATTGCAACCAACAGACAACTGTAGCAAGCTCACGTCCTTGACATACTTAGAAGTAATCTAAAATTTCCTATTAGAGGGCAAAACCTCACTATCCAAAAAAAAGAGAAAACAGAAACTACTCTAAAAACATCTGAACATGAAAGTTATGCAGCAGGCAAAAATATCTTCTTTCAATTCCTGCTCTTGAAAAATTAATGCGAAAATGTGAATAGAAAACAAAGCGGAACATTTAACTTCATACGTTCACAGACACAGTTACGCCCCATTTTAGATATTTGTCATACTGGTTGAAGGGGAGACTGAATTACCACATGATTAAACAACAATAATTAATCTAACTACATATTTAAAACTAATTAATTTGTAAAATTTTAATGCTGGCCTTTTTATATGGCTAAATAATTTTGAGAGTTCCACAAAACATTAAAATTAAGTATACTTTCTTTTCTTGAACTGCTGTCTAGAAGTAAAGTAATCCGAGTATGCTATGCAAGTCATTACTTTCCTACAGAACTCAAAGGAGAAATAGTATCTTACATCAAATACATATACATATATATTATTTTTAACATATGTATCTGTATATCTTAGAATATACCTAGCATTTGCTTGCATGTTCTACACTTCTAAAATTAGTTTCGGTCAAAAGTGAAGCAGTTCCTGTTCATTCTTTAAATCAGCAGTAAAGTGTGATGGCAGCGTAGCCCTCAGTTAACCCACAGGACTAAAAGGACAGAAGCTCCCAGATGTTAAACTTGAACATTTTCTCTCTCCTGTAAATAATTACGTAGCATCTTCAGAATGAAAATTTCTACATTCGCTTCCTTTTTTTTTCCAGGAAGAAAACCTGCATTCTACAGATGGAATAACCCTGCAAGGAGAACAAGCTTAGACTGAAAGCTTTTTATAACGGACATAAATTAAATCAAGACTTGGGAAATTATCAATTTTGTTTTATTTTTATTTTATTTTATTACCTGGATCTTATTTCTTCCTGTTGATTCATTGTATTTACTTTATACATCTTTGTACAAACTCTTATTTACTAAGTCAATAATATTTACAGTTTTATTCTACTCAGCCACTTGCTTGCTTATACTTACACTCTGCCTCACTCCTGTTTTATGACTAACTTGAATTCAGTGCCTTCAAAAGCTTTTGCACAGTATCTATCTCTACCTTGCACTCAAGAAATACTGCATCCTGAAAATTACACTCCCTTTTTCTAGTAATATACTTAAAACATGAGAGGACTCTCTTTTTCCTATAACTCATTTCAGATTAGTTATACTGTGCTGTAAACCCAGTGGATGCAGTCTCTGGGGATCCTTGTCAACGAGGCAAAATTTCTGACACAGAAATTGCTCAGAGAACAGGTCATCTCCCTCATGGCCACTAATTTTGGGAATGCTGCTCAATAATCAAGTTATCTCTACTCCCTGGATTCAGTGCTCTCCAAGCCACTTGCATTTCCACCTGAGCTGCCCTGCATAAAGCAGTGACCCTGATGAGATGAAAAGATATGAGCAGGACTTAAAGCTACCTCTACTTCTTAGCAGTAGGTGATGAGGATCTAGGGTTTGGGATCCATCTCGTTTCTCACTTTATTGAACCACTCCCAGTAAATAGGTATGCTTCACTGATAGTAGCTTCAATGAAACCAGAATGCTGAACAGAAGGTATCTTTTATGAAGCCAATGTCAGCTAAGTCCAGAATTGACTCAGAAAACTTTGTTAGTTATCATTTTGTTGAAGCGGTTGTCGATGTTGACATCTATGTTCAGAGAAATCGTGTCCAAGTCAGCTTCTTACCTTGCTGTTTTTGCATAATAATGAGTGCCATTCATTGTACCCATTTTTTCACACATGCCTGTGAATTTAGCCTGAAAGGAATTACCTTTCTCTGAGGTAATGAATATATAACGGGTCTTTCTTGAAATACTGCCAGGTTTGCACTCATGAAAATTTAAAATAACACAAGTTTTTCAGTTAAGGAAATTCGATACTACTCTTGAACTTTTTAATTCAATTAGTTGTCTTGGTTGGGGGTAAATATGCTAAATGATGACCTACATTTAGCACTGTTTGTGCAAGCTGTCCCACAGACAGACACTGTGCCATAAGCAAAGCTAATACAAAACATAGGACAACGATCAATACTAATGTGACAGCCTGATAGCTGCAGTCTTAAAATACGTCACTTTGTTTTGCCCTGTTGATGGTTGAGAGTCAAACATATAAAGAAAAACTACTGCAAAACCCATGTTAAAGGATTATAGGATTTTTATAAGAAACTCTTGATTATTTTGTAGAAGTTTGCAATGTTATGAAAGATGTGGGGGTACAGAAACTACCAAAGTAAAAAATGGAAAAGTAAAAATAACAAAAGAACTTTTCAATTCCTATTTTGGTATTTCAATCTATTACGCTGTTACACAAGAAAAAAAAATCAAAACCACCTGAATACACAAACAATGCATAAATTTATACTCTACACACTGAGCATTGCTGGAGTCACTTTACAAGTAATTACCCAATGCCTAAAAATAGCATCTGCTCAGCAATCTCATTGTTTAAGAAGTGTCAACACTTGGCAAACATCCCAAAGGAAAGTCAGAGTGAACCTGCCGACATTACAAACAGTGATCAATAGCACCATTTCCCAACAAAGACTCAACTTTCTTTCATTGGTGTGGGTGTACAGATCAGACAAGGCTGGTAGCAAGACAGAAGCACAGAATAATTTAGGTAGGAGAGGGCCACCAGAGTTGTCATTCCAGCTCCCAGGTCTCAGCAGGTCAGGTCACAGCAGGCAGCTCAGGGCTGTGTCCAAGGGCATAAAGATAGACCACAAATACTGGACTTTATGCAGCAATACAAAGAAAATTAATTATAGAATAGCTTGGGTTGGAAGGGACCTCAGGGATCATCAAGCTCCAAACCCCCTGCCATGGGCAGGGTCACCAAAAGTGAAGTGTAGTGGAAACCACTATTATAATTTATTATAATTATAATTTAAGTGGTTTAAAAGGAGTATTTTTTTAAGTGCTACATGGGTATTTGCAGTGGGGTGGAGAAGGACATATATTATTTCAGGTTAAGAAAGCAACCATAGTACTTTACTATTGAAGAGAGCACTGTTCCCATAACCTGAGCAATGCCTGAGGCTCAAGTCTCAGACCTGTGTCCCCCAGAGCAAGGTGCAGCATTCAGCACCTGCAGCAAAGTGACTGAGATGAAAAACAAAATTACTTTGTAAAACCAAAACGCAATAAAACTGTAGTTAATGAGCAGCAGCCTGAGTACAGCTACTGTATAACAAGATTCAAACTTCTCTGAATCATTAAAGCTTTTGATATCATGGATCTGTCCTCAGGGATTTTGGAGACAAGTAGACAGCCAGAACATTTAGTTCTGGAGCCAAACTTCCTAATTTCTCAGTGTCCAAGTCGGTAATTGGATCTGAGTGGACTTTACCATGTGTTTTCAGAACTGAGGCAACGTGAGCTATGGGCAGCTGTTAGCAGTGCTTGCACTGCTGCCTCTGAAGGCCTGACTCACCAATTTCTCACATAGGAATTTGTGCACTCTCACAGGAGAACAGCCAGAGTGCAGCAGTCCCATGGCACAAGCCTCTGTGACAAACAGCCTTTTCTGCTCTCCAAGCAGACTGAAAGGGAATGCCATGCAAACTGACCTTTCCAAGTTTAAGGGTGATTTTCCTTAGGATCAAGGCCAACCAGCAAAACTCAATGAGAAAAGCTATGAATCCTTCCAGTTACTTAGCTTCTTTGTTATAGTAAGGCTCACGTTCAGTGTTAAACAGGGGGAAATTTAACACATCCAACTGGTACAAAAGAGAGTCTTAACAATGGATATACTTAAAAGAACTTTTTTTTTTTTTTTTTTTTTTTAATGTCCTCACACTCTCTTGAGATACTTTGGTTACTATTTTAGCTCATCTTCACATACAGCTTGAAAGTCATGCTTCTTACTTCCTTTTACGAAATTATATCTGAATAGAGTCACCGATGTCGGTTTACATTCAGCTCAGGAGGCAGCAGAGACTGAAATAGCTTTCATGACGCACACGGAGCTTTTTCATATGAGTAAGGTCTTTTTTTTATTAGAGCATACTGCCATCAGTCAAAACTCAGCGATGGCATGGTGATGTTTGCATGCAAGTGAGCCAGGAAGGTGGATCTGCTGCACTCACTTGGGGAACCGATGGGAACAATTGGAACAGCACAGCTGAAGAAAGAGGTCTGTTTGTGCTTACTGAAAACATGCTTATTCTGGC